GGAGGTGAAAAGTTTTTTCAATTTTAGCACAATTGATTACCAATTAAAACCTAAACCTCCACAATTTTCTCTTCCCACAAAGATTTAGCAAATTATGTGAGAACCTTTTTAGTCACCACAACCCATATCGCACATGAGGATTGATTAAATTAATCTTCAATTAATTTTCTTGTATTTAATCTCACGTCCATCCCAAAAATCACCCAATGCATAATTATGTATAGATATTCAATCAATCATTGCAACAATGCATAATTATGTATAGATATTCAATCAATCATTGCAACAAACACATAATGCGCGTGTATGAAAACAATCACAAGTGTGTACAATGAACAATAAAGAACACAAGTGATTTATTGACATGGAAACCCTTCTCGAAAAAAACCATGAGGAACCTTCTCAGTTCACTAAAGCCTAATCAACTACTCTGTAAGTCAACATACAAGTACTTAAGGTATTTGAAACAATATTTGTATGACCAAGTGTTCAGGAAGGTCAATACCATACAACTAAGTAGCAACTACATGGAGATGAGGCAATCAATCAACTGGTCCTACACTAAGGTAATCGTTATCAACCCTAGGTAGATCCAGTATGGTAGCTAAGAGGTCTGAAGAAAAAGTAAACTTGACACCTCTGATATAGGTGACAAAGAGCAATATAAGGATCAGGCTCATTAATCTGAATATGATCATAGAATTCCCTTATAATGCTATCATTCATTGTCACGAGTTCATTAAACATCCAAGTCCATCCATGGTTTATCGAATTAGTAACCATAGAATGAGTTAGCTCCATGGCGGTTATTCCCTGTTCGATCAACACTGGTCTTTAAGATAATTTGGCTTTGAATCTCTCTACGAACTCTTGGGTCAGGAATCAAGTAGCTTTACTGAATTTTTGTGAATTGATCTTAATCATACACCTAAGTATAAGTGATCAAGTTTTAATATTACTTGGTTAAGTCCAATATTGAATCCATAAGGAGTTATCTACTAGAACCCAAAATAGAAAAGGTAAGATTGTGGTGCGTGTAGTGTGCATTATAACAACTTGTGGTGAAAACTTAAAACTAATAAACTAAACTTCTGATATAGCAATTGAAAAAGGGTACTCTTTAGTTCAAGGGTCCAACATGCATTCTATTATATGACTATGAAAATTCCACCTTATAGCAATTAACTTCCATATTAATGGAAAGCTAACCGATAGGTTTGATGTGTAGGTTGAACTATATCACAGCAACTTGTCAAGTTAGCTGGAAGGTCTGTGCACTATACAACAACCAAATGAACCTAGTAAACCCGAAGGTAAACCATTCAAAAGGTTTACTATAGCTATTCGATTTGCAGGTCTATGTTTCAAGGAAGACGAAGTTCTAGTTTATGCATTGAATTAAAAACATTGGTTATAGAAACATTTAGCCCATCTATAACCAATTTTTTGACTGTTACATAAATCACAACTACGTGCATCAGTGTATTATGCATGAAGTACATAATAACATATAGATGAAATGGTATATAACAATATGTTTAGCTCGGTACTCGTAATCATGAGCATATAGTAATACGATACCAATCGAAAATCAAAACCATCCATCGGTTAGGGGAGGTATAAACATTAAAGTATAGGTAAAATATCGACATTTTCATAATACAATTAATATCATACATGTCTTCACATTTTACTAAAGAGTATAAATGGACAATCAGGCTTCATTGTTATAAACGAGCAAGAAGGGTAAGTTAATTCCATCACATTACAACACAAAAACAAAACCAACGCAAGAAATCCTTCCCCAAGGAATAGTTGAAACATCCTCACTCTTATTACTGACTAGGGCAAAAATCAACCTTCCAAATAAAAAGGATGTAAAAAAAATGTAAAAGAAGAAGATTTCTAGCTAGGGGTGTTTAGGGTAGGTTATTCTTCTCTTTGACTTTAGTTTTCTTCACCGTGGAAGGCTCTCCTGCAAGATGACCCGAGCAAGCCTATTTATAAGCTCTGATGAAAGGTCTAAGGCGAAAAATAACCAAGGAAGCCAATCAGGGCCTTTTGTTGCATAAATGGACCAATAGGAGAAAAGGAAGAGGTGATGTTATTAAGGCCACAATCTGAACGCCGCCACCACCATCCAGACGATGCTAAGTCTCTGGATTTTTGTCTTGCAGCCTCCTTTCTTGACTTGTTGACCTTGCTAGCATTGGGATGGTGTTTCACCATCCGGATGGTAAGTCTCTTTGCTAATATTACCCTTGCATCCCTCCTTGTTCCTCTTTCACACTTTTATCCTTCTAAGTTCTCTTAATTGTGTATAAAACCCTATAAAATATACAATTCAAACATTAGCCATAATATAATTTAAATTCAACACTTTAATTTAACTGATACACACTACTAACCCTAAACCCTAATTCAATACCACATTTTGTAGGGTAAATCATTTTGCTCGACATCTTCATATATATCCTCTACCTGAGGTCTTTTCTCTTTTCTTGGTGCCATATCAACAAAATCTTCTAATTATCTACATCTCACATATGTGGATTCATGATGTAGACAATGACTCAACCTTAGATCGAATAAGAATGAGTTTAGAAAAGTTAGAGAGGCTAGAGTTAGGATATATATAGGCTTGGGACGTGAATGAGAGGGTCTGGAATGCAAAGAGTCATGTAAAACACTGATTTAAAACACTAGTTGCCAACTTTATGTGAGGCCGCTCAAGCAGTTATTGGACCGATCGAGCGGTCTCTGAAGCTTCTCAATCCCACTGACAAATTAACTTCACTCCCTTTATAGACAAACCATGTCCCAGCATTCACTCATCGAACCAATCCTTCAAACCTCAAATGCATGCATGATTTATATATAACCTAAATGCACTTCAATGCAATGCATGGATGAATTTGGATCAAAATTAATGCAATTTTCAAATTAAACAATAGATGCTCAATGTTCATAATTATGAAAATTACACATTTTAGCATTATAAAAGCTCCATCCAAAATTCATCATCTCTTTACACCAGTCTAAGGCATATTCAAAGATATACTACTCAATTTCATGCATTCTAGAGCAATGTCTCCTCACTTGATTTAATTTCACTCACACGTGTTCAAATTTTGTTCAAATTGAAAAAATTCAAATGCATCATATGTGAAACTTACCTACAACACAAAAAAGAATTCTAATTAATTTAAATCGTTAATAAGCTCTTTATGATATTCTAATTCATTGTCTAAGAGAATACATGATCGGTTAGTGAATGTCCTAAATATTCTCTTTTTGAAAATTCCCCCTCTCTTTTATCCCTTCTACTCTATGGCTTCAATCAACACGATTGTTAATTCTATACTTTTAATGTATGTTTCTAATCATGGTTAACTTGAGCTCTATATGCTTTACAAATAAGCAATTTATATTTAAGCGTAAGTACTCTCACAATTCAGGTGCAATTATTTTTAATCATTTATTTATTCTTCAACTTTTTAGATTTGGCCACACTAGCCTCTTTTCTCACAATTGATCTTCAGCATCTTTTAAGGGATTGGGGTTTAATTAATCTTTAGTCATGTGTTCACTTATCACCAACACTTAGAGTCATTTAATATCATTAATAGTTCAAACTAATAAAATTTCTAAGTGTGAAGGTGAATGGTATGTGTGTACTTGGTTATGAATTTTTCAAAGGTAAACACTATCTAAGCATGTTATGATGAAAGAGACTTTGACTAATGAATCATGCCATAAGATTTATACCACTAAGTTCTCTATCTCCTAATACGGCTATTAGCAATGCACATTTCAACTTTGATTTAAGGATGAAACAATTTCAATGCAAACCAAAGTGTGAATTCACCATAATCATGAACAAAAAAAATTGCTTTTTTTTCTTTTCCAATGTTTTTGAATTTTTTCAATTAACACATGTATATGAAAAAAATGCATAAAGATGCTATTACATATACGAAAAATAAATAAAGTATTTACCATAAATCCTAATAATGAATGTCACAATTGACGTCAAAACTCTTTTTGGTTTTTTTTTTGATTTTTCATATTTCTCATTTTTGGGTTTTCATCTTTCTATTATTTTTCTATTTTCTCATGGAAAAAAATAAATAGTAAATAAACTAAGAAAACAAATATGTACAAACAAACTTAGACCCTAGGGTGTTTGATGCAATGCATGTGTGATCACCTAGGATCATCCTATCTCACATCTTCTATTTCTTAGGAGCCATGACCTTGCTAGAAGCACTCGAGGCCTCCAACTTAGTTGGGATTGTGAGTTTCTCAAAGTCCTCCGTAGTCACCCATACTTGTTTTCCCTTCCTAAAACTTAGGTTAGCTTAGGGAATGGGTGTAGGACTAACTCTCTTCTACCCAAAAGTATGTAGATTAATTTTGATCTCGGGGGTAGAAGAAGCTTTGGGCACTCCAGTATGTGGTTCATGTGAAGATGATGCATGAGCATGCTTGAACTCACGTGACCTTTGCAAAAGTATGGAAAAATTGACAACTTGATTATTCAATGCTTTAGATTGGTTAGCTAGATGCATGAAATTTTTTGTCTAAGATTTCCCTATTTTGAATATAGTGTGCACTACAATGACCATGTTCACCACATGTATAACACACAAGATGTTTGGTTCAAATTTCATTTTTTAACCGGTTTCTTTTCATGCTTAACATTCCAAATTAGTCTTTTAGGACTTGTGCTTACTTGTGGAGGTGGAGGGTTGGGATCACCCTTTACAAATATGGTCTTAGAAGAAGTGTTAGTGTGTTCATTTGTGTAGTCTAGGTCTTTCTTGTTACCCACACTTTTCCCTATAGTCAACATTTTATCAAGTTTTTTGGTACTTTGAAAAAGGCTTTTTGAGAGCTCTTGTAATTCGTGAAGGTCCCTATCATGTTTTATGAGTTTAAACTCAAGACCCTTTTAGACTCTAAAAAACCTTTATGCTCTCTCTCTCAAGGAGGCTCACCTCATCATGGAGGGACTTTTTCTTCTCCTTAAGCTCAATAATGTGAACTTTGGACTTAAACAAGTCCACATGAAGTGCTTTCTTTTCATCTTCACTTGTTTTGAGCCTCGAGCTCAATGAAAGCAACTTCCCTCCTTGTTTTAGACAAGCATCTTGGAGGTTCTCAACACTCTTGGTCCCACCCTCACTAGTAGAGACTTTCACTATTAAGTCATCTACATCTGTAGGGGTACTCGTCTTAACTTCCTTTTCTTCATCCTTGAAAGTTTCTCATTGGGAAGGGAAAAATATGACCCTACAAAGCCTGTGAAATTCTCTTCATCTCTTGAAAAAGAGGAGCCAACACTTGTTGTGGACTCACTTTCACTTTCATTCACCTTAGCCTTTAAGGCTCTCCTCCTCTCCTTGGGCATGTCCTTTTTCTTATCATTAAAAAATTCCACAGCTATGTGTCCAAACCTATGACACTCATAGTATTGGAGACCTTGGCCCTTCTTCTCAACCTCATATCGATAAGGTCTACCCCCCCCCCCCCACACTCTCTTTTCTCTTTCTAGGAGACTTGGGTCTACATGGATTTCCTTTTGACCTCAAGGACTTGACACCACTAGCCTTAAAATATTTTTTGAATTTTCATGCAAGATAGGCTATGTCCTCTTCTCCTAAATGGGGTGACTCGGATTTACCCCCTTTTTATTTTTAGAATTTAATGCCACATCCTTCACTTTCTTGGGTGGAAATGGTTCATCTCGAAAGCCAAAATTGGCCCTACTAGGTCTCCAATCGATACGATGGCCATGTTGACACTTGTCTCTAGCGAGGTCATCTTAGCATGAAATATTTCCAGTAGAGATCTCAAGATTTTTGACTTAATGATAGCATCATCAATCTTGATACCTAATGCAAAGGAAGAATTCAAAATATCACATAACTTGGCATAAAAGTTGCCAAAAAATTTTTCCTTGTGTATCCTCAACATCTCAAATTGTGAGTTGTACCTATGGAGATAGGACATCTTAACCATTGTAGTTCTTTCAGAAGAAATCACAAGAATATCTCATGCCTCCTTTGAAGTTTCACAATTTGTGATTCTTCAAAACTCATTTGGTGTCACGGCATTGAATATCACACTCAAGCCTTTTGAGTTCCACCTCACGGACTTGTTCTGCTTTTTAGTCCATACCTTNCCTTTTGACCTCAAGGACTTGACACCACTAGCCTTAAAATATTTTTTGAATTTTCACGCAAGATAGGCTATGTCCTCTTCTCCTAAATGGGGTGACTCGGATTTACCCCCTTTTTAATTTTAGAATTTAATGCCACATCCTACACTTTCTTGGGTGGAAATGGTTCATCTCGAAAGCCAAAATTGGCCCTACTAGGTCTCCAATCGATACGATGGCCATGTTGACACTTGTCTCTAGCGAGGTCATCTTAGCATGAAATATTTTCAGTAGAGATCTCAAGATTTTTGACTTAATGATAGCATCATCGATCTTGATACCTAATGCAAAGGAAGAATTCAAAATATCACATAACTTGGCATAAAAGTCGCCAAAAAATTTTTCCTTGTGTATCCTCAACATCTCAAATTGTGAGTTGTACCTATGGAGATAGGACATCTTGACCANTCGCCAAAATTTTTTTCCTTGTGTATCCTCAACATCTCAAATTGTGAGGTGTACCTATGGAGATAGGACATCTTGACCATTTTAGTTCTTTCAGGAGAAATCACAAGAATATCTCATGCCTCCTTTGAAGTTTCACAATTTGTGATTCTTCAAAACTCATTTGGTGTCACAGCATTGAATATCACATTCAAGCCTTTTGAGTTCCACCTCACGGACTTGTTCTGCTTTTTAGTCCATACCTTTGTACATTTCACTTCAACCACCACTTCACCACATTCAACTTGNTCAAGCCTTTTGAGTTCCACCTCACGGACTTGTTCTGCTTTTTAGTCCATACCTTTGTACATTTCACTTCAACCACCACTTCACCACATTCAACTTGTATGGTGATGGTGAGAGGGCTTCAACCCTCTTGGACGATCAACCACACTCTCTCATCAATAGATTTAAGAAATGCTCTCATATGAGCTTTCTAATATGCAAAGTTTAATTCATCAAAGAGTGGTGGTCATCCAATTGAACCACCTTCCTTTTTGTGACTCCATTGAATACTAACTGGTAGTAGCAATAGATCTCTTGAAGGCAAATTAGGTAAGTAAGCAAAAGCAAAAAGTGTCTACTTAGTGTCTATGATCTCAGAGCAACCATTTTTTGATACCAATTGTATATAGGGAACCCGAAGTGGATCTTTCGTCACAATTTTACACATGAACCTATAGACACTTTACCTAGAGGCCCACTTATTCAAAAAATTTAAATCGGGTTAATTAATGGCTAATTTTGAATTTGGCCCACAACTTCCCCTTACCACAAAGATTTACCAAATAATGTGAGAAACNTGAATAAGTTTTTTAAATTTAGCCCAATTAATTACCGATTAAAACTTAAACCCCCACAACTTCCCCTTACCACAAAGATTTACCAAATAATGTGAGAAACCCTTTAGTCACCATAACCCTTATCACACATGATGATTGATTAAATTAATCTTCAATTAATTCCCTTGTAATCAATCTCACTTGGATTCCAAAATCCCAAACCCAATGCAAAACTATGTATGGATAGATATTCAATCAATCATTTCAAAAAATACATAGTGCGCATGTGTGCAAACAATCATAAGTGTGTACAATAAACAATAAATAACACGTGATTTTTTTATGCAAAAACCCTCTTTGGGAAAAATTGCAGAGAACCTTCTCCATTCACCAAAGCCTAATCTACTACTTTCTAAGTTAACATACAAATACTCAAATCTTATACCTCAACCAATACCATGGTTACATAATACTTTCCTTGTTGTCACTTCGCCAAAGGCCCTCCTTCAACATCTAGTATAGCTTCACTTGGACTTCCCCGTCACATGATTCATCTAGGCCTCGAGCAATCGTGGGCATGCCAACGATCCCCGGAATGTATACACCAATCATTTTATCACCAACAAGATATTCTTCTCCAAGTTGTAAGGTAATTTAGAATCTCTAGTGGTAGCCTTTGGATTTAGGGATTTAAGTTGTGGTGTAAGCTCTCAAGGTAGAAAAAGGATTTTCTCTCTTAGGAATCTCACAAAAGGCTTAACCTTGCTATGGGAAATGCTCTACCTATTTATAAGTTCGGAATAAGGGTAGTCATAGTAAATAAAAAAAAACTTAGATTTGTGAACGATTACTTGATCGATGGAAGAGTGGTCATAGGGCAATTGGTTCTAGAATGTAAATTATGTTTCCATCTTGCAGGAATAGGCACCATTATGTAAATTATTTTTCCACCTTTGCATTTCTATGTGTTGCTTGAATGATTTAGGTGATTACTTGATGTTAGAAAATCACTTAGGTGGTAGTTGCTTTGAAAACTTTGAGTTAGTAGTTTAGGTACTTTTGTGTTCTTTGAGTTTCTTGACAATTTGTTACTTTGATAAAGGTGTACCTTGCATATGTGTTGGATTATTATATTCTAGCTTATGTTCATGTAGAGAAGCTCTTGTAGTTTGAGAGTTATGATTTATTCCATGAGTTGATAGTTTGTGTATTTGTATTTTCTTTGAGAAATTGTGAAAGTAATGAATATGAAATTTGAGCATATATTTAATTCATTGAATTGTGCTTCACATTCATGCAGATAATGTGTTGTGAATTTGAAGTTATGTTTTACTTTGTGAATGAGGCATATTTTAAGTTATACGTCATGTGTTGATGAAATGTTCCATAGAATTTACATTGAGAAAAATCAAGGCATGTTGACATACATGAATCCTTGGAACACATGGTGTGGGTTGAGCACTTGGTGCTATGCATTATGAGGGTGTAGATCCTATGGTGAAAAATCCAAAATCAGGCCAATGATAGTACTCGCGGGCTGACAGGGGCGAACCATGAAGCGAGACATGGATGGCATAGAATTGCATGTGTATGTTAAGCATATTGACATTGCATGGCATTAAGGGATTACGGGGTTGTAGCTTTCAAAATGTACACTTGCACATGTCACGCCTTAAATTTGTTCCTAACATTAGCATTTTTTCATACCAGTAGTTGAGCTGACCCATTCGTGGGATATCATATTACAGATGAGACTCCCGATACTTGAGACTTGAGGAAGTCTTAAAAGAAGGATAGGAAAGGGACTTGAATGAACATTTGGCCCTTGGGGCATATTTTGTATGTATGGGCATAAGTCCAAATGACTTGTATTTCAGTTTGAAAAAGTAGTGGATTATAGACATTGGACCATTTTAAAGTGTAAGAGTGTAAACCAAATTGATATGTATGATATCTTTTTTTAATGAATATCATATGTGTATATTGAGGCAACTAGATGTGTATGTTGAAAACAAGGGATATATGTTTTATTTACATGGATTATGGCCACCGAGTAAGGGTGGGCTGTGATATACTTATGCATATGAAGTATTGTAGATATTAGATGGGAAAAAGGCTTGGAAAACAAAGGAGGTTATGTTGAAATTTTATAAAAAATTAAAAAACTTGTTAAGTGTGTAAAACACCTTTTAAATAGATGGTAAGGATGTCAAAAGGGGGGGTTTAGAAACCTTGAAGAAATTGGCTAAAAATGGAAGGAAAATGGCTTGAAAAGCTTTGGGGAAAAAATGGGAAAACTTGGGAAATGCATGAAAAATCAATTTATCCAACCTAATGACCTTTCATTTACTTTTCTTCTTCCTTTTCACTCACTCCCCAGTTTTGTGAAAATTCGGGGCATTACAAATGATACCATCATCTAATTGCATTCTTTGAGAGGTGAATGATTCAAAATGGTTTACTTGAATCTCTCTTGATAATGATGGGATAATGTGATGGTTTAAATGAATTGGTAATGGGTTGGTGGTTGTTAATGTGAAAGATTTTTGTTATATATATCATAATGATGGTATTCATTTGATTGATAATTAGTTATACTTGAGATATGACTGATTTGTCTTTATGGTTAATGATTTTGAATAAAGAGTGAGATATTGGAATCATGTTTGGGAAGTGACTTGTTTTATATGTGTAATTTGTGAAGGATGATGTAGTTTTTATGACAATCTATTGCACTTTTAGTTGTGATCTCTGAAGTTGAAATGGTGTGATACGTTGTATGTAATGAATACTCAATGTGTTGATTACTTTGCTGACATA